TCTTTTGAAAAATCCATCAATTTTAGGTTGTTTCTTCATCTACAAACCAATTACAAATTTTATTAAGAACATGATTCATAAATTATACCCAAAAAAAAAAATCATATTCTACTATAACAATGAAAACTTCAATTTTAACTCATATAAAACATATACAAATATATTCTCATAAAAAGTAATATAAACAAAGGAAAAAACTATGACTATGTAAAGTTATATAACCTGGAATTAAAAATTTCGAAGCAGGAGGTTGGAGAGCAAACACCCAAATTCAATTATTTTCTTTTGTTGTGTGCGGCTGCTTCAAACTAAGTTCATGTTGCTTCATATAGGAACAAAAATTAAAATCCCAATCCTTTTTTACTTGGGTAAAAGTCTACTTCCTATTTGATAAAGGAAAGTTTTTGAAACTTTATTTGATTGGCTGCTTTTATTTTTTTATTAATATATTGATGGGACATTTAAAAAACCAAAGCTGGCATGTGGATTCACAACCTTCAGTCATGACTCATGTGGTGAATATTATATATACTTAATTTGGAAAGAGAAACACATCTTGAGGGGGCCACAAGCCAAATTATTATATATAATTCCTAAAATATGTAGGAATAGATGACCAAACATAAAATATTATTAAACTTTTGGGGGGCCCCAAGCCCCTTCAGGCCTTCAAATACCTCCGCCACTTAGAACAAGAATTAGGGTTTTTATCCCTTGGGAATTCTTAAGCAAGAAGGAGTTCAAAGATCCTTTCTTTATAAGGAGTCCAACATCAAGAAGGAATTCAAAGATCCTTTATTTATAAGGAGTCTAACAACAATTGGGATTCAAAGAATACATAGGTCCAATTTTTTCATCTCCTACATCCCACCACACATGACATGTAGAAGTTAGGAGCCATTTGTGGAGCAAATAATTTCTTGACCACTCCAATGGCGCCACGTGGAAATTAAAATAAAGGTCAAGCTTGCCCTAGGTCACATTAATTATGTTAATTTAAATCCTCATTTAATTAGTAAATTAATGGGCCTAAAATAAAGATCGAAAAAATCTTATGCCACTACCCTTTCTCTTGTCTTGGTATTAGTAGAACTCGCTACAACAAGAAGTTAATAACCTCGTCGCCTTTCTCATAGGCGAAATCATCAGCTCCATCATAATCATCATCATCACCACATTCATCATTATCCTCTCCCTTCTCTGCCAAGTTAACCTGTTTTCTGTTAGATTAATCATTATTAGACCCATATGACCGGTTTTCCACATCCATAACAAGGTTTGTTTTCCGAGGCCGACCCTTATCACTGGTTTTGCTATTGTTCTTTGCTGCTCCCTTGATGCCCCTGCACCTACTGATTATTACTATACCCAGGACCCTTATCTTATATAGCTAGCATCAATCTTAATGAAGGCCTACCACATACATAACATAAGAGATACTGTATGCGAAAATCTGAACCACTATGTTAGTAACGCAAAGCATGCATGATACGATGGTACCATTCAAAGAACAAAATTCCTTCCGAAAATATAGAAAGGAGTTCTCTTGACCCAAAAAAAAAAAGTAGAGAAGTGTTCGAAAACAATAAATATGCAAGATATTATACTTCAGAAAATTTAGGTATAGGTACCCATTAAAACATTGCATCTCAAAACAAAGGAGGCAAGCTCATTAGACAATCAGATCCAGTAGATTACCCTTGACCTAAAAAGCAAGACCCAGCGCTATTGCTTGTATTTGTAGGTATATGGCAATGACCAAGTGTAAGAAGTTCCAACTGTAAACCTCGCCTGGTGCATTATGTCTCCTCCTAGCTTCATTATTTGCAGGCCGATTTGATTTATGAAGACATGATTTTGCATATGTAGTAGGGCAGGAGAACTAGGGACTATGTTCATCTTCTCTTGTGTTTAAATGGATCAAGCCACAATCTGTTATTGCTTTGACCAAAATAATCCTTCATCAAGTGCATTTCTTCCGCAACATCATCAATGCCCTTGATTGAACGAGCTCCATTCACATCAATAGGTGAATCTGCAACAAGATCAAAATGCAGTCATCTTTGACATCAGCAAACATATACGACCATATATTAAAATGCGAAGATATCATTCAACATTTAATGGATTTACATACTTTGCTCCTCATCAAAATCAATATGCCTCCGCTTTGGATGATCTGCTGGTTCTGAAAACAAGGTAAGGTATTGCTCTTCATGATCATGATCCATGACAACGACGTTAGGACCATGATTATCAACTGCGATGGTATCTGATCCACGAGGCCTCTTCCAAACACCACCCGTTGATCCTAAAGACAAGGAAACCAATTCATCTTGGTAGCGACAATGGATATCATCGTCAACTACCATGATCTGAGTCTCACTGACATCACCAACCTGGTGGCCTAATAGGTGGACCCCACACCTTGTAATCGGCCCTGCACCTTGGTAGTAAAATATAACTTGACACATATTACCCTGTTGCGACCGCGTCGGTCCTTCCGCCATGTTCTTGTTCGGATCCAATAATGGACTACAGTTGAGCCACACATGAGTTTCCTCTAACTTAATAGCATACTCATCCCAAATCCATATCTCGTTGACCTGTTTTCCATTTATGAGAGTCTTGGCGCGAAACTGACAACCATGATAAGTCATGAGATCGAAAACAGCACATAGAGCCAATCTTGACGTCTCCCATTCTAAATTTGGAGGAATTTCAAAACAAACTTCACATTCAGCAACGTATTCCCCTTTATTATCTGAAAAAGGATTTGCAAATACTGTTGCCTCTTTACAACAGCTAAAACACTTTGGAACTTCAGTTCCTGGAACTATAATTTCGATTGTAGAACTCTGAGAAGATACCTAGAATAATTACAACAATCATTGACTTAAAACGTGTGTGTATATATATATACATAGAGAGAGAGAGAGAGAGAGAGAGAGAGAGAGAGAGAGAGAGAGAGAAACCTGATTGAGGAAAATGTTTTCTGTGATGTCACAACCACATAGTCTAAAGCAATTAGTCAAATACAAATGCTGAAGCCCTGGTGACAGTTTAGGAAATTTTTCCAATGACGTGCAACTATTCAGGGTTACTGAAGTTAATTTTGGTGGAAGCACTTCTGGAATTTCCCGAAGCCTCTTGCAACCACACAATCTAAGGCTGAGCAAGTTGACAAATTTGCTAATGCATTCTGGAAGACTGACAAAATTGTTTCCGGAAAGATCAAGTTCTTCTAATGTGGACCAGCAATCAAGAGGCGGGAGGAAATCACTTTCTGATAAATTGCATCCTCCAAGAAAAAAGAAACGTAGCCTGGGAAGCGCTAATGAGATAGAGTTGTCATTCGGAAAATTTGAGCTATTTGAAAGCAGCTGTAATTCAGTGTAGCTGGATGAAACTTCAAAGTTAACCTCATTGCCAAATGTAAGGAGTTTTCGACACCCTTTGACACTAAGCTCACCGAGACTTTGCAATCCATAAATACGATGTAATGACGCATTTGAAAGGTTCTCACAATAATCAGCTTTTAATACTTCAAGACCAGTAAGATATGCAATTGATGAAGGCAATTCTCTTATGCCACTTCCTTCCATATCCAAAATGATTAGCGATTCCATCTTGTCTTCTATTTCTGGGAAACTCTCAAGCCTTTTACAATCACATAGATAAAGTCTTTCTAAGGATTTCAATCTAAGTCTTGTTCCAAACCTTGTAAGCTGAAAGCATTCTCTGAGATCCAATTCAACAAGTTTATCAAGGAATCCAACAGAACCATCAACCTCAACCAAACGTTTACACTCACTTAAATTCAAGTACTTCAAATTTGGGATTCCAGATAAGTGAACGATTTTTTCTAAGAATTGACAACCACTTAAATTTATATAGGTCAACTTTGGGAAATTCTGTGAGAAAAATACACAAAATAGGAAATGATCAACCACACACCCCAAATGTAAGGAGTGTTGAACACCCCAATGAAACTAGGCACAAAGAAATATATTTGAGATAATAATAGATGAAAATAATTTGAAGTGCGTACCTTAAATCCCTCCAATTGTCTGATATCACTGCAAGGCATATTGAACACAACAAGATGCCTGGCATGAAAATTGGATGGCAATAATTGTAACTTGCATCTACCCCAATCAATGAACCTCAACTCGTTGGGTAGATATTCAACATATCCAGATAGAACTGCATTACAGTTTATGAAAATTTCAAGATTTGCCATCCCGAAGAAGCTTTTTGCATTCAAGGGTATCTCATCTGGCTTGGGAAACTTCACCATGATTCCTTTAGTTTTTCTTGTTCCCTGTGATGAAAAGATAATGATATTAAGAAACCAAGTCGTTCTTCAAAGCAAAATGCAAGCCCATTTTGTGAAGAAAATTATTGGTTACAAACAACAGGTACTATTTCAGATTGAATATAAGGACATATATTATACTTACGCTATTTTCTGTTAGAACACGGTAGACATCCTCATGAAACCACAATCTACTACGCTTGCCAGGATCAATGGGGCACTCTTCGTGAACTATATCCTTACTCCGTTTTTCTAGCAAGTCATGCATCAAAATCCTATTATATTGAATAGTTATCATTGCCTTCTCAACCAGGACTTCAATACAATCTTGGGAAGCCTTGTGCTTAGAACTTAATATTTGCATCACGTAGTCCTTATCTTCACCCTTGAAGAAACACGCCAAGTCTAGAAAAACTTGTTGCACTGAATTATCTAATGCATCATAACTTTTTCGAAGTATTTTCTGTATACCTGTATAAGGTTCTCCTTCATAACCATCTAATATAGCTTGCCAACGATGTATACCTTTATTACGAAGATGGGAACCTAAAAGTGTTATAGCTAGTGGAAGGCCTTGAGCATAGGCTATTGCTCTTTTTGCGAGTTCCAAATAATCATTTGAAGGTTCATTTCTTCCAAAGGCATTCAAACTGAAAAGCTCAAGAGCTTGGTTGTCATATAACTTATGGACCTCGTATATCAACTCAATTCCATAACATTTTAGCAATCCGCTATCTTGTGTAGTTATGATGACTCTACTACCCTCACCGAACCAACCAACTCCAGCCAAGTTGTCTAATTGCTCCAATTGATTCACATCATCAAGAATTAAGAGAATCCTTTTATGCCTCAGCAATTTATGTATAATAGAGATACCTTTATCAGCACTAACAATTTTCAACTTTTTGCCACCTAGAATCTCTTGAAGAAGAGTCTCCTGTAGTTGGATTAAGCCTCCATGTTGCATTGAATTTTCTCTAACATCTCCTAAGAAACAACACCCTTCGAACTTATGAGCAATTGCATTATAAACAGCTTTCGCAATTGTTGTCTTGCCTATTCCAGATGTCCCCCATATCCCAACTATGTGGCGACCATTCCCACCAGCACATAAAAGCATTTCCACAGCTCTTACACAAGAGTGAATTCCAACTGGGTACTTCGCCACATTCAAATATGTGCGGTTCAGCACTAGGACTACAATCTCTTCAACGATGTGGTTGATAAATGTAGCTTCAGACCTACCATTTAAAAAATTTGACACATTTAAGGAATAAAATGTATACATGCAAGCACACAAAGAACACAAGGTAGTCTATTCAGCCGACTGCCATACTCCATCGAGTTTGGTTGGATAGTCTGCTAAAGTAATGTTCCGTTTGGATGGAGGGATTTAAAAGAAGGGATTTGGATTTGAGAATAATGCTAAAGCTAAATTTGCTACAAAAACAAGAATGACATTAGAATGAAGGAATTTGGAATAACTAGATGTAGTGCCTTTAAAATAAATTTGAAATTGACTACATGTAAGGAATCATTTGAAATCCATTTATCTTCTTCATTTCTCTCATGTCCAAATCTTGGCCTACATGAATTTTACTAGTCTAAACAAACAAGTTTACCGTATAATTTCATCTAAATCCATGAATTTGGAATCCTTCCATCCAAATGGAATCGAATAGTTCTTCTTTTTTTGTTACATTTGTAGGAAAGACCCTGGGGGTTCAATCCTTGGTGCCAAGAAGGGGGAGGGCCACCACTGTGGTAACCCTGCTCGACGAGCCTAATAGTTCTTTAACTACAAAAACAATATTGACTAGTACGGCTTTTGGAGTATATGGGTTTTGAATCTTCTCCCCTACAGCTATTGAAAAAAATCTTCGGCCTACAGTTTTCTATTTTTATCAAAACAGTACTTTTTTGAATGCGTAACAATTAAATATAACCAAAGGAAAAAGGAGAGAAAAAATTAAACTTGAAAAAGATAGATGACCCTGAAATATAGAATCAAGCCACTAAATTAACCATATATATGTGCGCACTATAGAGGGTAGAAATATACTCTCCCGCCTTGCAAGTATATCCTTTCAAACTTGCTGCTTCTCTAAGAGCGCTCCTCCACCCTAGCACCTTCTCCGTATTATCCTTAAATCTGCAGTTCATGTCAGCAAATGCATCACCGAAACTATTTGTTTGGTTCCGTACATGCGACGGATTCACTTTGTAAAAAATGGGCCAAACTATTTGTTTCGTTGAGTTTTTGCATCGAAGGATCTCAACGAGTTCGTCCAAGCACCAGCGTGAGGATGCATAGTTTTCAGAGAATACAATGAGAGAAATCCGTGAATCTTCAATTGCTTCGAGAAGGGCCGGTGAGATTTTCTCTCCTCCTATAAGCTCACGATCAATGAAGGTGTAGATCCCCTTATCGGACAAGGCCTTGTACAAATGATCTGTAAAATTGGTGCGTGTATCCTTACCTCTAAAACTCAAAAACACATCATATGTCCATGGATCATGAGTGAGAAAAGTAGTAGTAGAAGAAGAAAAAGAAGAATGTCCTTGTTGGTTGGCCATAGGAGCCATACTCAGATCAAAGACTAAGTTGTTGGTTGCAGTTGTGAATGTGATGAAGTTTAAGAGGGGGAGAGGAACTTCCAATAATTAATGCAACTTACTTCCAGTTTTCAGCTTCCTTTGGTTTCTGACGCGCACACTTGGGACTTTTGCTCAATAAATTAATATTAAGACTGGTTTGTCTTTTTCAGTTTTTGTGAACTCAATGGGCCTCACCTTTCTTCTCCCTTCTGTGCAAGGATGTGGTCCAATTTATCTCCGTTAGATATTTCTAAGGACACCTAACTTTGCAACAACCAACAAATCCTTTCACTGTACTTAAATGCATATCTTTAGATTATGTTATCTTTACAACGACTCTTTGACTCAGTGGGTGCATGTATTGATATAATTTACAGGTGTTGGTGCCTAGTCCCATCCGCTACAGAAAACCAATAATGTTTAACATTCAGTTCTGAGATGAGATCTGTAGCTTTGTGATTAATCAGTGATAGGATTCTCAGGGTTAATATGGTCTTTTTGTATGTTAGCTGAGTTGGTAAGGTTTTGTAAGGCAATTGGTTAGTTAGCTGGCAATTTTTTTTGTTAGTTAACAGCTGTTATTTGCTTAACTGGGAAGTGATTATATTAGTGGGCTTATTGCTCATTCTGATTCTTTGGCATTGGGTAAAGGTTGAAGGGCTTCTATCAATCAGCAGCACTTTAATGAAGCTTCTCAGTAATACTAATTAGGATGTTTATCCTAAACCCACAATTAAACACAACTTAAATATATGCTTAGCTTCATCAAAAAAAAAAAATGTGTTTAGCTTGACCATGCTTCTTGTGAATAAATATAAATGCAGTCATAGTAAGGCAGAGTCATTGTAGTTGATAAACCCATAACCTGGGCTGCAGCCCATTTCACTTTCTTTTCTCCAGCCCAAAAAATGAAAATTATTTCTTAAAATGCAACTTTTGTAACCGACATGTGTCGAACCTATTGCATTCCCCAC